AATAGACGTGGAACGGTTTTACTTCATAGAAAGTGGACGATTAGTAACAAAGGTATAGTATAGAGCTCTCCATACTTTGAAACTTTTGCAGACCTAAAGAATCGTTATATAAAATAACAGATACATTCATTGTTCGCTTTGTATTTCTCTATTTCTATTTTAATAATTATATAAATTAAATATAATCATTTAAATTCGAAAATAGTGTTTATTGTTGCTTCGCTGCAAATTACGTTGACCATATAACTGTCAAATCAGATGATTTCATGTATAATATTATATTCTTGTTTCTTACGCAGCATGCAAGAAACATATGATTATCAATATTGACAGCAATAGCAAACGTAGCAATTTCTTAATAAAGACAAATTTCTAATAGCAAAATTGTGTGTCTATATTTTCAGACAATTTATTAATTATTTAAAAGAATCTATATAAATTTTATGGTTTTAGCGATTTCTCCTGTGTATTGATATTGTCTTATTGAAGTACAATACATTTTTATAAGAATTCCTATTATCTTACCTTTTATTGCGCGAAACGAGGCATTAACGCTTTACTGAAAGTACACTTTTGCTGAGTGTGATGTTACTCTCTTGAGAGATCACAGCATACTAGTGATGACATTGATAAAAGATTTCATAATAAATACAAAGTGTCATGTTTAATAAACACTTTTCTTCTCTGGATAGACTATAGTCAATATAAACCTAGTGAATTTGCAAGTTTCGTCGTATCTTCCATAGTTCAACGCGGATACATACACATTTAATGCTATTTTATTTAACTTTTCCGAATTTACCCCAATTTTGCTATCGACTGTTCATATAATATACTGCTATTATATAAGGAAAGTATGAAAGTTCATAAATTTTGTAATTTTAATTATATTACATCTATTTAATTAAAAAAATATATATATCTATCTTTTTATTATTACGATCCTATTTATAACACATATAGTTGATTATGTTTTGCAACATGTGGCTGCGGCATGGGGCGATTATAGTAAACGTTTTAAAATTTTTAATTCGCCTACTTAGAGGTTTATAGATTCTAAAAATGATTCTTGTGCATCTCAAACGATACAATTAAATGTAAAAAAATAATAAATAGAAATAAAAAGAGACAAAGTGCACCGCAAAACTAATATTTTAATGAATTCAGCTACTAATCCAAGTAATAATTATATCAATTTATTTATATATATATTAAGCTATTAATATTTAAACAATTATATTTTAGGTATATTATGTATCCGGTAAGTCCATGTCTCTCCATGTTTGGAACGTCTTTTTAACATCTCATATTTCCTTAACGTTAAATAAGAAGATCAGACATTGTTACCTGATCGAGTGTTCAAATTAAGTCAATGTTAATAGAATTAATATTTTATTCTACGTAAGGAACAATAATGAAACATAAAATTGACTGGTAAATTGACTTGTCGGGGATATTTTATGCGATTCTCGGAGCTCGTTTCCTCACGATTCAAGCCGTTCCAGCTAAGCCACGCCGAGTTTCCTTTTCGTGGAATCCCAGCCGACAATCCGGCGCGAGGAGTGCACGCGTTCCGCAGGAAGCGTGAAATTTAACATTGTCGCGGATTCGAGGACGTCGCCAAAAGCGGACACGAATAGATACGCGCAGGAATACGTGCGAACAACGGATTTTCATGACGGGAAGCGGACGTTAAGGACAATAGCGTTACGAATTACATCGACGCGTGTATCGATCGTTCAACCGGGCGGTTTAGCTCTTGCAACTCACTGCGCTGTTCCACTTTATAGACAAATTAAGAGAAGCAAACTGACGTCGTGTCTAAGACTGTCTCTAAGCATTTACGCCTAAAATTTGTATTACGTAGCGTCAGCATTTATTACCTTAATGCCATTTACATGTGACATTTTGTCCTCTCACACAGTCACTCGTATTTCGCTCTTGTAACTCCAGTTTAATATCATATCATGAACGGCAGATCCATGTTCTTCTTTCCATGCCCGACGTACAGAAATCCGTGATGCGGGGAGTTCAACTTGTGAAAAAAGGTCATTCCGTGCCAGTACAAGCTGTGCAAAACGGCCAGACGACCGCCCAGGAGGAACTGCAGGTTCCAACATTCTGAAAATAAAAATATCATGTTATTACGTAACAGATCAGCGGTCAGGAACATAAGAAAAGTTGAAATGACATTGTGTTAAATTTTATCGCTCATAATAATGTCGAATGTCATTATTTCACCTGTCTCTATCATTGAGCGCTAAAGTTCACGCTTTGTCGCCGCTTGTACCTTGAGGAACGTCCATGTCTGCGGCGTCTAAAAAATCCAAAGCGTAATTGTAATCGGGCCGGGACGACAAATTCTCGTTCCACTTCTGTTTCGGGGGACGTGCGTGCAAGTAAGATTTCAGACTCGCGGCCTCCATCTCGCGTAGACCGCGGAAGTTCGGATTCTCGATCACGTCGCCATTCGGGCACTTGAACCAGGCTCCTCGCGGAACAACCGCAGCATCCTCCATGATTGATTCCACAGTGGCCGCGAGACGGTCCTCCTCTTTCAGTTCCTTCGGCATAGGATCCTAAAACATTTACACATGTCTCATTCTCTTTCTAATAAACTGGATCTCTGTAAATGTAAAACGATTCGACCTAAAATACTCTTAATACATTTATATCATAGCCCAATTTTCACGACAGACTTCTCGAGTCGGCTTTTCTCGGAGAAACTTTAAAGAAAAAATCACTGTTTGCAGTTACAGCGTAATAAATCTTGGGATCCTCGTTTGGCGGAAACGGTGGGTTAACGTCGTAAACGTTCGTGACGATGGACGGATCGCCTTCGAATTTATTAATCGCTAAGGGGCTCAGGAATCGTGCGCATTTCGTCGCTTTTGGCAGCAGCAACCAATTCATACCATCCGTACTGTAAAAGGAAATTAATGAAAAATAAACGTTATTTTGATTGATTTTAATGTACGTAAAACTAATATTAGAAAAGGGAAATTCTTTTTATAAAGTAATTCTCTCTCAACTTCTAAAAGCTGAGATTGACCTCGTGATTAACAATCAAATATTTTTTCTCATCAATATTTATAAAAATGTATGGAAGAGCTTTACATATCATAAATTTGTTTGCATTTCAACGGTGTCTTACTCAAAGAGGCTTTAATTTGCGAAATTCAAGAAATTCCTACCTGTAATAAAACACCTGATCGTTCATGCAATCCCTCGCGAAACCGTATGCGACATGATAGTCGTTTTGTATCCCATTGATTCTGCCCCAGTAATAACATTTTCGAAAGTGATTTTCCGTCTGTAAAATGAGTAGCGAATTCTGCAGCAGCTGCGAGCTTTCAGTACTTATGCAAATACCGGCGCAGCCGAATATATCAAGAGTTTCCAGTAACTTGAAGCAATCCATTTTGCTTACGTAGCTTACGGAGATCTCGGCATTTCTGATAATCTCTGACGCTCGAGATTGCTCTTTTCAACTGTTTAAACAGCCCGGGAAAAAATGTATATATCTAATCATATCTGATGGCGCTTTCGACAATTTCAACTGACTGAAACTGACGTGGGTTTTAGCCCTCTCGGAGCGATTAACCTGAAGACACTAAGAACATATGTTCGACCGAAAATGTGTTATGAATCTGGATTAGGTCCTAATTACAATATTCTTTTTAATCTTACGATAAAATCGAAATATTTATTAGTAGTTAGATAACCTACAACTTATTCAAGTAAATAGATTTTTTGTTAGGCTTCTAAACTTAATTTCAATTATACCATGCTGATCTTTCACTTAATATGAATAGTGGGACACTGTCGGTCTGTACATACACAAAAGCCACATAATTTGTATATTACACAAATGTTTTCACGAATTGACAGTTCTAGGAGCAAAAGGTGCCAAAAGTGCAGAATCACTCCAGCATTAAGCCCGTATCAGACTACGGATTGGGATTGGGATTAGATTGAAATTTAACCAATCACAGTAAAGTTTATTAATCTTAAGTTCAATAACTTTTACTCTGATTGGTCAAATTTCAATCTAATCCCAATCTCAATCCGTAGTCTGATACGGGCTTTAGTCGTGTCGGAAGAAATTATTGACCAATCACAGTTCATTATTCTCCTTACGGTCGAAGAATAATGAACTGTGATTGGTCAATTTCTTCCGACACGACTTACTATATCCTATGTAGACCTAGTATTAATCCTGGTCCAGTCGAAAACGTTATGAGTATATCTAATTCAGATATAAGCAGATTTAAATTTTGCCTCAGGCAATCATATCCAACGTAAATATGAGTTAGGTATCGTTTGATAACACACAAATATATTCGGAATACTTAAAACATTTATTTTAACACTTTATAAATATTTAACAAAATATATTGTGTATATGTATATGGGCGTAGAGCACGGACATGCACCAAGTGGAGACTTTATCGGCAGTAATTGAAAATGGGTGTAGCGGAATAGTTCCAAAAATGAAAATAGGCGTAAAGCGCTGTAATCAGTCGAGCGAAAACGGTAACAGGCAAAACGCCGGGATGGACGCTCTCAGGCCGGTATTCATAGTCGATTCTTATTTCAAAATCATCTTAAGTGTTGTCTTAAGAGATTAATACGGCTCTGTGATTGGTTAAAAACACATTAAGAGTATACTTAAGACGATCTTAAATATAAGAACGGACTATGAATACCGGCCTCAGGTTTCTCTCTGGTTATACTGTGATCGATGCTTGAAAGCTCGCAGCCTGATTGGCCGCTGCTCCACGTTTGAAAATTGCAACCGTTGCGAATCTAGTTGACGTTCAGTTGTTGGACGCGGAGAAAACGTCGGTCGGCCGCGAGAATCCGCTCCGTGTTTCCATCGATTTCGGCTCGCCGAGAGGGCGAGCCCCGTGTCCGGGGTGTCGTGAGTAAGTGGCGCGTTCGCAAGCTCGTTTGTGGCGTTCAAGCAGCCGCCGGGAGAAGCGTGCCGGGAAATCTCGGTCGTCGTGAGTGAGCCGTAGTCGCGAATCGGCCATTCCGCGGCTGCTCGGAAGTTTGGTTGTCGCGTCTCGCGTGCCTCAAACCGCCGAAAAAGTCGAGAGTGCACCGCGAACGGGAGTGTCGAGTGTCGCGAGCGTGTGTCTCGAGAGTTAATTTCATCCGTCGCGAGTGTTAAGTCAACGATGCGGCTTACAGAGTAAAATTGGTGATACTGTGTGTGATATCGTATACAATGCGATATATATGTGATAGTGCATATTCTATTGTGAAGTGTTAAGTGAGTTGTGACCAATTGGGATTACTTCGCGGGAGCAACTCAACAACCGATCCAACGAGGGACCACATGACGGAGTCACATGACGCCGGCGACGCCCATAACCGTTACGCCCAGTCTACAATGAGTTGTTAGTCAGAAGTCGGAACTATATGTCGGTTTTTTTCTTCCACCCAGAAAGGAAAAGGATCAACATATACGAGTAGTTGCGACTTCTGACTAACGACTAACGACTCATTGTAGAACGGGCCTTATTATCGATCGGTCATCGTGGGATCCGCCGTCGCAAGGTAAGTGCTCCGTATTGCAATACCGACGACGCGACTTATCTATTGCGGGTGGTTGCTCATAACCCCCTCGAGCGGCAATAGATGGCGTGCGGCAATACATTTCGTGCCGGGGCATAGGATATCGCGTTTAAACGAAATAGAATAGGGCATAGGATATCGCGTTTAAAGGATATAATTAATTTTCGGGACTTGCGATCTTTTTGCGCTAACCTTAGAGGTGATGCATCTCGTCGTCGAGAATGACTTTCGCGTTTCGGGTGACACGAGACTGCTAGATTTCGTACCCGGGCATAGGACATCGTGTCAGAACGGCAAAATTTTTATTTTTCTGCACCTGTCATATGCGCAACGTCACTTTAAAATAAAAAGTAATATGTCGCTCACTGATACGAGTCGCAACAGCAAAGTTGTACATCGCTAACTATATATGTTAAACTGTAACAATACAAAAATGTATACGATTATTATAGACTAATTATGCAAAATCAAAACTATTGTATTAAATATACTTTATATTTTATATTTAACAAAATGGGTATTTATTAAAACAATTATATAGAATACTGAAAGTCTTCCTTTTAAATATGAACTCACAAAATTTTATACGTACGGTTTTGTCTCTAACACTTATTCGAATGCTCGTTGGAATCATTTGAATAAATAAAATAAAAGCACAGAACAGATGATTCATTTTGCACAAGTAGCAAATAACAAAAATGTAAGACACTTACCTTATGATTTCTCTGCTGTTACCCGATGCCGCCTAAGCCTGCTCCTCCTCTCAGATTCTCTTGTTGCACTTACACTCACAGCACTCGCGAAAATCGATCGCGCGAAATTTCGGACACTCCCGTACGCGATGTAAAATACCGTGAAATGCAGTAAGCGACGTTCTTTACTTCCTGCCCGTTCGAATTGCGAAGAACGACAGAGCGAATTACGCCGTGAACGCCGAAGTCGCACAAATTTCTCTCCCCGAACAGATTACACGAAATCGATAGATAGTTAAAAGCGCGGTGCGTAAACGAGATGTAACCGCGACAAAGTACCACGGTTTACATTCATGTTTTAGTT